CAGGTTCAGACCCACCTGGAGAACCCCACCCGGTACCACCTGCGGGCGGCGCAGCGGCAGCAACTGAGGCAGTACCTGAGCCACGCCCGGGGCCGGGGAGGGGGGGGCAGCCCCCCGGGACCCCCCCCCGCACCCCCAGAGCCCCCCCAGAGCCCCCCCCCGGCACTGCTGCACCACGAGAAGGAGGTGAGGGACAGGGGGGCGGTGACGTCATGATAATGACGTCATAGAAAGTGATGGTGATGTCATAAGAGGGGATGAGGATGTGATAAGGTGGGTCGTGATTGGGTAAGGGGGATGGTGATGTCATGATAATGATGTCATACGAGGTGATGGTGATGTCATAAGGAGGGGTGAGGATGGGATAAGGAGGATTGTGAGTGGGTAAGAGAGGTGGTGATGTCATACAAGGTGACAGTGATATCATAATGTCACAAGGGCGGTGAGGATGTGATAAGGAGGATCATGATTTGATAAGCGGTGATGATGTCATAAGAAATCTGTGATGTCATATGAGTGTGTGATGTCATAAGAGTTAGCTGTGATGTCGTAAAGAGGTGTGATGTTATAAGAGAAAACCATGACATTATAAGGGTGTGCGATGTCATCAGAGGAGTCTGTGATGTCATAAGAAAAAAGTTGTGATGTCATAAAAGAAAGCTGTGATATTATAAGGATATGTGATGTCACAAGAGGGAGCTGTGATGCCATAAGGGTATGTAATGTCATAAGAGGGGGCTGTGATATCATAAGAGAAAGCCATGACATCATAAGGGTATGTGATGTCATAAGAAAAAGCTGTGTTGTCGTAATGGGGTGTGATGTCATAAAAGAAAACTGTGACATCATAAGGGTACGTGATGTCATAAGAGAAAACTGTGATGTCATAAGGGGGAGCCATGATGTCATAAGAGACAGGTGATAATGGGAGAGGGTAATGTAATGGGGGTGTGGTGACATGGTATGGGGGGTGGGGCTGTGATGACAGAAGATGATGACGTCACATGGGAGGGGTGGTGACGCAATAAGGGGGGGTGCTGACGCAATCAAAACCAGTGACACTGCATGGGTGGGGCGATGACGTCATACAGCGGGCTGATGACATCACCGGGGGGGGGAAGGGAGGGGTGACGCCAATTTGGCCGTGTCCCCTGCAGATCGATGACGTCATCGATGAGATCATCAGCCTGGAGTCCAGCTACGATGACCTCCTCAGCTTCGGCCCCGCCGAGGGGCCCCTCCCCCTGCCCAGCACGGTGCGCTGGCCCTTTAAGAGCCTGGGGGCGGGGCCTAATGGAAACCCCACCCACATAATGGGGCGGGGCACTCTGGGGGTGTGGCTTTGCCTATGTAATGAGGGGAGTGTGATTTGTTGCCATATATAGTTGTGGGTGTGGTTTTGCCTATATAATTAAGGGGCGTGGTTAATTGCTACATAATGCTGTGGGCGTGGCTTTGCCCATATAATGAAGGGGCGTGGTTTGTTATCATATAAGGCCATGGGGGTGTGGCCTTTTCTGCTTGATTGGCGAAGGGGGTTGCCGAATGGGGCGTGGCTAAATGTAGGATGGGCGTGGCTAATATGGGTGTGACCTACACACAAATGGGCGTGGCCTCACCCAAACTCCCCCAATTTGAACCACCCCAAAGCAGTTTGAGCTGGGTGGGCGTGGCCGTGGCATGGTGGGCGTGGCCGGGGTGGGTGTGGCCGGGGTGGGCGTGGCCGCTCTGACCCCGCCCTGTCCGGCAGCTCCCGGCCCCAGGACCCCTCCTGGAGGTGTTCAGCCCCCCCCAGGGCGGGAGCAGYTCCTGCCCGGCCGAGCTGCCCCGGGTCAAGGCCGAGCTCTCGGG